CGCACCCGTACAGCGCCGTGCTCCAAACATACACCTTCAACAACCTTTTTCGAATTTCTAAATTAACCGTTCGCGAGCATATAAGTGATTTCTTTTTATTGAAAGCTACTCGACCCTGCGCTATCCTCTGCTTAAAATCCCTACTACTCTTTTCGTCCTGACTTATCTGACTTATCTTACTTCCTAGATACCTAAAATTAGTCACATCTTCTAGCCTTTCGTCTGCTATCTTTACATTCGACCTTTCCCTACTTTTTCTTCCCATGCATACTAGTATTTTTGTTTTACTTTTATTTATTTTCATACAGTACTGTTTTGTCAAAACCGCTTCCATTTTATTTAAAGCTCTAACTCCTCTGTGTTAGATGCTAACACTGCTATATCATCTGCGAATCTCATGGTTTCTTTATTTGTCAGATTAGATTAAGTGTGATTCACGATGTTACGGCCAGCCTATAAAAGATATTTGTCCTTTTAACGTTTTCAATCGGTCGATACCCGCGAACCATCTTCTGCGGCATAGAGATTGCGAGAAACTTATGTCCGAAACATATCGCCGCTGTAAAAGACAAACTCCTGGAGTTCATAGAAGATAACCCCTAAAGTAGTACGCGAGAAATTGTAGAGAAGTTGGGATTGTCTCATATGAGAGTGTTGCCAATTTTAAGAAAGTAGTTGCTGCATCCTTATCATTTGCTGCGAAACTTACTTGAAATTGATTTTCAGCCGCGAGTTAATTTTTGTCAGTAGTTTCGACAGGGAAGTGCTGCAGAGCCTAATTCTTTTTTCGTACGATGTTATTTACAGACAGGTTTGCTTCACACGAAATGAAATTTTGAATTTTCACAATAATCACTATTGATACGACGCAAATTCGCATGTTTTACATCCTTCATGTAAATGAGTGATGTGAAACTTTTGAAGACTTATTTGACTTTCTATTCTCCGTTTATGTAGCTGCAATGTTTTTATCACACTAGACTCCTATGTTGCCAACTCATGTACAGGACCGGCTTCAGTACTTAAATTATTCTGGTATTCTTAAAAAAAGAATTTACCCTTAACCACACTGTTAAATTCACTGTGCATTTGTCTATTGCATCTCGTTTACACTCTCCAAAGCTAGGCAATTATTTCTACTACACCCTGTAGAACACAAAAAGTGGAACTTGCTCCTTATTTCAGCGAAGATGAAGAACTTGTCTACTGTAACATTTCCGGACTTCTTTGTTCCAGTAGAAGTTTAAAGTTTGTTTTGCTGCATAATGGCAACCAACATGCTTCGATTCTTATCGCTCATTCAACAAAACTTAAAGAGAGGAATATGGAAACATTAAGTTAGTATTTTAGAAAATCCGCTTTGATGAGCATCAGTTTTCTGCTTGTGTGGATCTGAAAATGGTGAACTTCTTGTTTATGCAGCAAAGTGGGTATACCAAACACCCTTGATTTGTATGCGTACGGAATAGTAAGGTAAAGCAAGATCATTGAAATGGGATTCATCATTGGCCAATAAAACAAAACATGCGTGACTACAGGAGCAGTAAATGTCTTTCTAAACTAATAATTTGTGAACCAGGAACAATCATTCTCCCACCTCTTCATATCTAGTTGGGACTCGTGAAATAATTTGTTAAGGATTTGAAGAAAAATGGCAATTTATTACTGAATTAATTTTACTCACTATTGGGATCCGTCAAATGGGCATACACCATCTGGTGGCAAAATTTATAACTCGATTGAGGGAAAAATTTACATAGGAACTGTGCACGCTAATTGTAAAATTGTTTATTAAAATAATAAAACACGTTAAAAAAGTAAATTTTTTTTGATGATGGAGTCGACGAAGTTTTCTTCTAAAGTTAAATCAAATAAAAAGTTAATATGTTCAGTGAAAAGCTGCAATAGCACTTCAGACATAGATCTTCCATCTTCATCACATTAACTACTTTCCAATAAAAACTAACCGTTTTATATATGTAAAAAATATATTCGGAAAATTACAGAAAAAAGTAAACTAATAGAAGCTTGCAAGAAAGCAGTAGGTATCAAAGAAGTGAAATCCGGAATAAAAATTTGTTCACGTCATTTTAATGCACATGCTTATATTTCAGCAAGTATTTACCATCAGCCATAACCTTAATATTTAAAACTAGAATCATACTAAAATTATAAAGTGAGAAATTATTTATTCCTGTGTAATTGATTTAACACAATTCTAATGATATAATTATTTTGAGGTTAAGAATCTACCTGCTGCAATACAACAAAGTTGCAATAATGTGTTTGCAACGTTCTCTTAAATCGGCTTTGCACGTGCAAGTAATTGATATGATATTGCTTAAATCACCCAGAATCACCTCACCAATTATATAACGTGAATCACTTTTTAAATCCGAAGTTTGTAAAAAGCAGGCAGTAAACTTGACGGAATTTGTTATTTCCGAATTTTATAATGTGATTGGCATTAAAACCACGCTCACCTTCAACGAAATTTCCTTTCCGAGGCTTTGTGTCAGCCCAATCACATATTGTGTCAATACTTATCATTTTATCGTAATTTAAAAACTTGGAAATTGCACGGTACACTATAGGAACTACGATAAATTTTCCCTAATCGGCGCCATGTTTTTAGGCTCCTTCCATTTGACGGATCCCAATAGATAACCTCAAATTAATGAGGGAAAATTGTTGCTGCTGACACTGCTTTGCCGGGAATCGAACAGCAGCATCACCAAAGATACGTACGTAACAGGCGGGCTGAAAAGTTCGCAGGCTAACATAGAAAAAATAATTTCTTTTATAGAATTTGATTTTATTATTCAATGTAGTTCCCTAGTTCGAGGGCGATACAACGATTATAGCGGTCATACAATTTTTCGATACCATTTTTATAATACGATTTGCCTTTAGCCTGAAAATAGGCTTCAGTTTCAGGGATTACCTCTTCATCGGCGCGAAATTTCTGTCCAGCGAGCATTGTCTTGAGGTTTGAGAACAAAAAAAAGTCGATGGGGGCCAGATCTGGAGAGTACGGTGGACGCGGAAGCAATTCGAAGCCCAACTTATCGAATTTTGCCATCGATTTCATTGATTTGTGACACGGTGCATTGTCTTGATGAAACAGCACTTTCTTTTTCAAACAACAAAAGTTCTTTCACTAAAAATGCTACAACTCAGATACTAATAGTGCAACAGCTGTCAAATTTATGCACGTGTCTTTTAAAGGTTAGGGCTAACTAAAAATCATATGGATTTCATACTAATACATATGGGTCAGCCTACGAACTTTTCAGCCCGCCCTTCTACCTAATTTAAGGTTATCTGTAGTCATTATGATCAAAAGGTCGTCAGTCTTAAGACTGGTTGGACACGCACCTCCACTCTTTCCTATCCTGAGCTAATCTTCGCATTTCCCTAAAACTAGAACATCCATCATCCTTAACTATTTGCCAACAGTAATCTAATCTAGGTCTACCTCTAGCCCTCCTAATTCCTGTTTGTGCCTCTAATTTTTTTCTGACTAGACCTTAATGCTTGAGAAGGTGTCCTACCAACCTATCTCGCCTAGTTATCTGTAGTGGGTAAAATTAATTCAAAAAATTGAGTTAACTCTACAAAAGAGCCTTCTTCTTTAATAACTATTTGTAAAGATACACACTTTTAGATATACACATTTATTAGCCTTTTCAAAACAGAGTGTTTACCTCTTCATTTGATTATTCGGATTACGTTCAAACTAATAGTACGTAATACACTATCTGTATGAAGCGAGACATAACTTGGAAAAATATCACGTCTTAGCCAGCTGCTGAAGATTAAATGTGTTAAATCCTGCCGAAGTCATATCGAATGAAAGATTTTGTCAGTGGAAGTTTACAATTTCATTTACAGCACTGAATGAAATGAAAAATAACTGCTCAACTTTTTTTAAAAAATTTCAATCCTGTTTTAGATATGTAACATGTTTTTGAGTTGAGTAAATAACGAACATACAGCCAGTAATGCAGTTAAGGGTGAGATGACACTTAAGTTCTGACTGAATATGAATACCTATTACATAAATAACTGTTTTTATTTTTGAGTTTACTTCTATTGTTTAAATAACAGTTATTTAAATGTTAGGCAGTATATATACACAATAAACATATTCTTAATTTCATTATTTTTTTGAACCATGGTGGCTAGATGTATTACACAGGGATATTAATTTCAGTTAAATTTTAAATATGTATTCACATTACATCACAATTATTGACAATAGTCTTTGTTGAGCGAGTTTTTCAATGAGATTTCACATGCGCGTGAAACGAAATTACGAAAATATTGACTAGGCTGTTAGACGAGTGGTGCACCCCCAATAAGATGCATAGAAAAGTCACTGAATCTTCCGAAGAAAGCCGCTGGATTCAATGAAGTGGAATTAATTTATTGATTTATTACGTTATTCGAAATGAAAAATTTGTTATTAACCACAAAGTTGCAAAATTACTTCGCCCCTATTCGCCACCCCTTCTGTTCTAATTCACGTCTGCCTTTCGGGAATTCACTTTAGTATATCGAGTTCTATGGTTCTGTAAACTTTCATCTCGACAAACTAATATCTAATTAAAAGAAAAATCGCCCTATATACCTACTCTCTGTTTGTAGTTTGCTTACTGGTTAGAAACGCAACTCCCTCTATTATCTGAACACGTTACCGTAAAATTTATTCATATTCAGCTCACCGAATAATGTGCTGATGAGAACACATCTTTGTTTGGCTGCAGTTCTCATCAAGAATATCATGTTATAGATTGCATTTTGTCATCACTTTTTAGATATTTATCCAATCCTTATGCTGTCTTTGGAAAGTTTTGGAGTATCTTAATATTGATAACGGATTTAAGGAAGTAAGTAGTAATTGTTCGGTAGGTACTAGTACCTACTACATAACCAAATCGATAAATATTTCATTTTCGTTTTGTATGCGAAAGCTGCAAATATATTTGTTTGCTTACCTGTCCAAGTGGAAGGCGGCTATCTCGGCGTTGTGTCGTTCGTAATCCGTGAAATAAAAATGATTCGGCAGAGTCTGTTGCTCTCTGGGGAACCTGCAACAAACAACCAGAACTTCTTTAAACTTTGGTCTGTGTATGTATCGAGTATTTGCAGATATTACATATGAAAATAGAAGTTGACGTTGCCTAGCGTAAGCTGCCCCCTGGGGGCTACGCTCGCGACTGTAGTTCAACGAAAGAGTTAAGACCGTATACACACCATTTGCATTTTAAGTAGATATCTAACACATTCTTAAATGAAATTATCGTATATCACCTTCACATTATATATTATTTGTTGTTCGTTTATTGTTCTACATCCAGCATATAACAATTGTATTTTCAAATAAAAATACTTCTTTCGCCAAATAAATTGTAAATAGTAAAATGTTTACTGCTAAATACTAAGGTTTGTAAGGTTTATTACAAGAAAATGGGGAATGTTGTTGAAGAAAAACTGGAACTGAAATTGTAAATTATGTCTTATGTCTAACTTTTGATCTTCATTATCCTTTAGAGTCTCTTCCTCATTATGGACTTATGCCAAAGGGCAATCACCTTTGTAGAACACTGGTGTGCTGACTGTGAGCTTTCTATCAATCCGAGGAAGACAGAAGTCATTATCTTCACGAGAAAATACAAGTGGGATAAAGTCTGATTCTTTTGGGAGAGAGCAGGATCTCCAGATGCAAAACTGAGTGAAGTACATCGGAGTAATTTTCGACAATAAACTGTCCTGGAAGGACCACCTGGACTTTCTGAAGGAAAGACTAAAAACTTCCCTTTGGAAAATCAGAAGGCCCGTTGGAAGGCACTTTGGGCTTACACCGGCTACTATGAGATGGATCTTTGAAGCGATAATGAAACCCAGACTGATCTATGCTGCGTTGGTCTGGTGGAATAGACCTGTTTTATCCACCTCTAGGCAGGGAGGTAGAGAAATTGAGAGAACTAGTGTTGATAAACATCATTGGGACGGTGAGGTCTACGCCCACGACGGCTATGGGGATGTTCCTCCAGAGTGGCCTTTAAAGTGGCTGCAATTAAGGCCCTTTATAGTTTATGTGATCAAAGTGATCTATTGAGAGGAAGGTAAGGAGGGGCTCTTTGAGCACCCCAAGGATATGATCAGGTGAGAAATCCTTCAGATGCCCCTGACCGCACCAAGACCCTCTTTCTTTTTGACAGGATCAGCAGGATCAGCCTCTATTCTAAAGAAGACTGGTCTTCGGGAGAAGTCTCCATCACTTACGACGGTGACTTATGGTACACAGATGGGTCCAGAAACAAAGAGAGGAGTGGAATTGAAATTTACCGGTGAAGTGAGAACAGATTTTCAGTACCATTGGAACAGTTTTCCATTCCTTTTCAAGCGGAAGTAATGGCCATTGCTTGTTATGCCCGACAAATACTTGCTGATAGTAATGCATATGAACTGACTGTAAAAGTGCTCTACAGGACTTTAGAGGATATTCAACAAAGTCGAAACTGTTAGAGGACTGCCACCAAGTCCTCAATAGATTACTGACTCAAAACCGCGTAAAGGAAAACGAGCTAGCAGATGAACTTACTAAAGCAACTGCACGATAACACCCCATTGGTCCAGATTCTGCCGTGGGTGTCTGCAGCAGCATGGCCAAGCATGAAAGTGTGAGATGGGTTGCATTAGAACACCACAGGGACTGGGGAACACAACAAGGATGTAGGACAAATGCCCTCATCATTAGAACTCCACAGGGATTGGGGAACACAACAAGGATGTAGGACAAAGGCCCTCATCATTAGAACTCCACAGGGACTGGAGAACACAACAAGGATGTAGGACAAAGGCCCTCATCTCCTCCACAAACTGTAGGAAGTGAGAAAAACAAACTCTCAGTCTCAGCAGGAGAAAAGCACCAAGACCCTCTTTCTCTTTGACAGAACCAGCAGTATCAGCCTCTATTCTAAAGAAGACTAGTCTTCGGGAGAAGTCTCCATCACTTACGACGGTGACTTATGGTACACAGATGGGTCCAGAAACAAAGAGAGGAGTGGAATTGAAATTTACCGGTGAAGTGGGAACAGATTTTCAGTACCATTGGAACAGTTTTCCATTCCTTTTCAAGCGGAAGTAATGGCCATTGCTTGTTATGCCCGACAAATACTTGCTGATAGTAATGCATATGAACTGACTGTAAAAGTGATCTACAGGACTTTAGAGGATATTCAACAAAGTCGAAACTGTTAGAGGACTGCCATCAAGCCCTCAATAGATTATTGACTTAAAATGGTGTAAAGGAAAACGAGCTAGCAGATGAACTTACTAAAGTAGCTGCACAATAACACCCATCGGTCCAGATTCTGCCGTGGGTGTCTGCAGCAGCTTGGCCAAGCAAGAAATTGTGAGATGGGTTGCATTAGAACTCCACAGGGACTGGGGAACATAACAAGGATGTAGGACAAATGCCCTCATCATTAGAACTCCACAGGGACTGAGGAACACAACAAGGATGTAGGACAAAGGCCCTCATCATTAGAACTCCACAGGGACTGGAGAACACAACAAGGATGTAGGCAGACAAAGCCCCCCCCCCCATCTCCTCCACAAACTGTAGGGAGTGAGAAAAACAAATTCTCAGTCTCAGCAGGAGAAAAGCTACCATGACTATACTGGAAATCCTTATAGACAATGGAGAACCGCGTAACCACAGGAACTGATATACGATTTACATTCCTGTTGACTGGACGGTCAATGTTTTTAGTGGAAATCAACAAACAGGCTGAGTTTTATCATGGCCCACGTGATTTTTTTTACTACCTCTAGCAATACATAGCTTTAATAAGGTATGATGTATTGACTTTATTGTTCTTTATTAACGTTTAACGTGGGCATTGAGTGGTTTATAAAATTGAAAGTAAGAAACATAGGTAATAAAATACCAATATTGACAAATAGACTTCTTGGGAAGAAATAGAATATTTAAGGGCAGTTACATTAATCAGCCTTAAATAAAATGGAAGCAGTATTGACAGAACATGAAATGAAAATAAATAAAAATAAAAAAATACTGAAATAGTACAAACCGCTTTTGTCGTTCAGGACGTACGAATTATCAACGATAAACCGTTAAGTTAGGTTGTCTTTAATTGTAGCTAATTATATATTTTAAACAATAATTATCATTTCTTCAGTTAATTTTTTTGTAATAACGACGACATTAGTATAATTTCTGGATTATAAATCATACAGTTTGTGACTTTTGAACCCGCACGATAAGATCCTATTTGACTAGATATGTATATGAAAGGGAGGTTAAAGCAGTGTTAGAACCATGATAAAAAAATTAAAGATCTTGCATCTTATGCCTAAACCCAAATGAAATTTTGACTGGACCATCTCAGTTTAGCTGGAATAGAGTTTTACCTTTACTCATTAGATATGCAAAGTATTTCTAAAATAAGTGGCCAGCTTTGGACTAGATGCAATAGGAAAGCTCACGGTGAGTACAGCAGCGTGGTTAACAGATAAAAAAATTGCAAGAAAACAACAAGCTATATTCTGAAGCCGGTCCTGGACATGATTTGGCGGATGTTGTACAATTAAATCTTTGTGTACAAATTATGATAATGATTGGATATTGGGCAAGTAATCATAAGCAACAAAAACTTATTGCTTACTTATTAACGAGTTATTGGTTCTGGGAACACACATATGTATACATACGTGCACAATAAAAATTTTTAAATTAAAATCGGGTGGTAGAAAAGAAGCTTCGAAGCGTCTACTAAAATTATTTTTTACTCTTGAAAACACATCATTTAGCGAATTTCATTTGCAGCGATCATCGCACTGTCCAACCTATCATCACCATTGTGCACTAGTGATTGATAGGCGCGCTGTTTCATACAAATCCTTATAAAGAAGTACATGTAAAATAACGTTTCAAGCACTTTTCTCTAGCTGTTTCCTGAAAGGGTTGCACTAGATGCAAAGGGTACAGCAACTGTTCCTTTAAAATTCGCCACATTGTCGTATGAAAGAAGTCAATATTCAGCGTTGCTTTGCGTGTATTACTGTGGGGGTTGTTTTGTATGAAATCATGGATTCCGTCTTGGACAGCGGCGATTTGGCTCGGACATCGACTGACGGCTACGTACGAGGGTGCGTTTTCAATTTCGCCGAATGGGTAGGTAAGTCGTTAGTGAGGATACTTACTCGAGTCATTACGAATTAAACAAATCATTATTAGTACCCATAAATACCAAGTTTTATCGTAATTAACAATTATCGAAACAAGTCAATCGGGAACAAACTGGAAGAGAGGTAAAACCATGGTTTATAAGCGGCATACCCTTTTTAAGCAAGGCAGGAACTCACTTGAAGACGACCCACGGCTGGCCGATCGAGGTGACCACTCCAGAAATCATTCAAAACGTCGAAAAATTAATATTGGAAGATACCCGACTTAAGATGAAACAGCTCACAGAAATGGTAGGAGTATCAGATACAACTAATTTTAAAATCATGGCATGACTAAAGCTAGTGGGATGAGTGCCGAGAATGCTCGCTCCGCCTCAAAAACAACAGCGTGTGGAGTGTTCTCGCGCGTTTTTGAACATCATTAGTGAATATGAAGATGGAGTATTGACTTGAATTGTTACTGAGGACGAAACTTGGGTTCATCATTATGAACTTGAGTCCTAGCAGGACTTTATGCAGTGGCAGAAAAAAGGCGCAAAACCACCCAAGAAAATTAAGGTGTCACAGTCAGCCGGGAAAATCATGGCGATAGTCTTTTGTCTCCATAACCGAAGAATACTAAGCTTCAATCCTAGAGCGGTTAAAGGAGGCAGTCAAAGAAACAAGAAAAGGAAACTGTCGAAACTGCCAGACGCGGATCGCGATTTCGAATACAGAATACAGACCACTTCGAATTATTTTGTTCGATTATGGTAACGTGCCTATCACGTTGAGGTGAGCTACGCCGGGATTCGTTTCAGCAAGTAGATATCCATATTTTTTAAGTGGACCTTGCTGGAGCATACGTAATCCTAAAATGTAGCATCGCACT